AATTGAAGCAATTATGCATGACAAAGAGTCTTACTAGTAAATTACACCTAAAACAACGTCTATATTCTCATCGTATGACAGAAGGTACATCTCTTGAGAATCAACTAGCTACTTTTGAGGAAATTGCTAATTTAGAGAACTTTGGAGGTCAAATATGATTAAGAAGATTTGTGATTGATTTTGTTGTGTTTATTGCCCATTTCATACATGTTTTTTAGAAACACGATTTTGTATAGTAGTGAAACTCTCACAATCGAAGAAGTCTACAATGCTCTATATTTAAAGGAGGAGAAGATGAAGTATCTTATAGCATTTGAGAATCATGGAGATGATCTCATTGTTCATGGTGGTCGTTCGAGGGGCAAGTCAAAATATAAATTCAAATTTTGTGATTATTGCTAGAAAAAAGGGCAATTTGGTAAACAATTGTTACAAGTTGCAGAATAAATCAAAGTCAACTGCAAATGAACAATCAAAAATTTCAGGAGAAGCAAGCATTGCATAAAATCCTAGTAGTGATGGAGAGCTTCGACTTATGTTTGACTACAACTCGAAACTTGGTGAGGCTTGATTTTTTTATACAACTTGCACATTTCATATGTTACCCATTCGGGAATTGTTTTCAACTTATGAATAAGTTTCAAAAGGTATTGTGATGACTAGTAATAACAAACCTTGTCAGATAGCTAATATTGGTCAGGTAAGAATAAAGATGTTTGATAGATGTTTAGAACGCTTGATGCAGTGAGACACGTCGAGATCTGAAAAAAATCTTATCTCCTGAAGCACTTTTGCTTCAAAAGGGTGCAGATAAACTGTTGAAGGTGGAGTTTTGAAGGTTATCAAAGGAGTCTTTATTATGCTGATGGGACATAGAAAATCTCATTTATATATCTTGTAGGGTTATAAAAAATCTTCAAGTAATCAGCATATTTTAAGAACTTAGGTAGATTTAGAATTGACTTCTGTACCGTTGAAGTCTAATTTGGGGTCTCATTTTAAGAATACATCTCAATTGAATTTTGAAGATATGGGTAAATTCATCTTGCCATCATTATCGACGGTGTCATCTATTTAATTGCTAGAAATAGACCCAATTTTGGCCATGTTGTTGATGTTTTGAATACGGTTAAAGGTGTTATTCTAGCCAAGATCTTTTTTTACATGACTTGTTTCAACCTTGTTTGATGATCATTAGATCACTTTTTTTATGACTCAGGTGTCCGAGTTTTACCTCGACTAATCGACTAATCCTGAGGAGTGGCGCTCTTCTCCTTAGAATGCCACTTGGGTAAATCTGGATGCAGTCACAGCTTATACAAGCTTGTGCCGGACATTCGGGAATCAGTTCTCTTTCTTGTGGGCCTCCCTTCGCGACATGCGGATCGGACATCCGGAGGGGCGACAAAGCGCACAATAACTTTACCACCATAGGGCACTTGCCTTCTAACTTAAATGTTACCTTCCAGCTGTCGCAGGGATTCCAACTTTCGATACTCCATATAGAACCCTCCTACTTTACCACGTACCATGTCCGTGGGGGCCCCATTAGATCACTTTTGATCTTGGTTGGGGTGGTAGAGGTAGAGAATATTTCCAATTGGAATTTTGATGGAGAAGTTCGTTTGTATTTTTCATTGAAGAGTTTCAAGTTTATTTCTTGAAGTGGAATTTGTCTCAAGTTGGAGAACTTCTGAAATTGGTTCATTGTAGTATAATTCATATCAAGGTGGAGATTGTTAGATTTTGGGTGTGATCCGAATTCTTTATTAAAAATAATTGAGAATTCTAATTAAAATACACATTAAGAATAATTCTATTTGGTATGCTATTGTGAAATCCTATTCTAATTTGAAGTTCTATTTGGAAGCCCATTGGGAGTAAGAATTTGTGTTGGACTTGAAGAAGACGTTGTGATGAAGAAATTCAAGATTTTGGAGTAAATGACCTGAAAGTGGGCACTGCGACGCCGAGGCAATTTTCGCCTAGTGCTGCAGCGTTGAGCCTGTGGTGCCATTCCAGATCTCAAGGTGTTACCTGTCTGTTTTCGCTCATGTGCGATTTTTTTGTTCTATTTCATTTCTTACATTCTACTTCAACTATAACTCTACTATGATGGTTTGGACAACCTCTATTTGTTCTCTACATATAATTGGCTCATCATTATGATTTAATAAGAAGTTAGAAACATTATGAACAAATAATTTTGTATTCTTTCTCCATATTATAATAAGATCTTTATTCTCTACAAAATTACATTGTTCTTGTGTTCTTGCGATCTTTATTTCATATTGTGGCTATAATATCTTATTTTCTTCAACAAAGTGGTATTGGATTAATCAGGTATCATCCGCTTTTTACAACAGGTTGTGACACTCCAAGTTTTCTAGAATGTGGATTTCATTTTATGGAACATGAATCTTATTTTATGGTGTGATGTAGGGCAATTTATGTGCAGTGGAGACGAATGATGGTGGTTTTATGTTGGTGTGAGAGCATTTGGCTTGTACAGATAATGGTGCTGGTCGAATTCTCACCCGAATGACATTTGTGTTGGTGATGGTAGTGATGTCGGTGAGATAAGTTTTGGTTGGGTGATTGTGGTGGTAACTGTATAGATGAAAGTGGTTTGTGGCTGTGAGATCGGTCAACAGTGGTGGCATTAGAGACAATGACGACAATGAGAGTATAACTCGAGTTACAAAAAGTGTATCTTGGCTTGTTACGAATACAATACAATAATTTTGAAGTTAAAAACATTAACATTATTGAAGTAGTTTATATTTTCTAGTGTGTTAATGAAAATTGCCCTAAAGCAACCCATTTTAATTCTTGAATATGTCCTTCTAGGTTTTAAAAATCCAATGTAAGCTCAATTAAATATCTTTGTACCAAATAATTTTAGCAAGATTAACAGTTAGTGAGAAATTTGAAATCAAAGTAGGTAGGGTCAAGGGATGGACAGTGCTCGAAACAATTCAAAACTTAAGGAGAATTAGATTCAATCGGTCGATTTCTGCTTGGTGCTTTTGTCCTGCCCTAAAACTTTATGGCATGGAAACATAAATACTAAATTTTATTCTCTTATTCAAAGAAACATAGAATTGCATATCCATAAGAAACAAAAAGGTACTTGAAATGATGAAAATATCAACGTCCACAGTTATACCTTAAAACCTAAATAAACAAGAAGATGAAATTTCATTTTTCAATTCTTCTATTAACTTGAAATTGTAAATTTTCCCACAATGATTTGAGTATTGCACTTGTTCTTCATCACAAGCTCTTCAATCAATCTACTCTGTCACCTTTGCTCACATTCATTCTCAGTCTTTGACCAACCTTTGTTAACATTTTTTCCAAGCTCTATTTGATTACGGAGCTTATCAAGTTGTTGCTTGAGTTGGCGAATCCTAGTTCATGCCCTACGAGACTCTACACGATATGTGAAAAATCCTGTTGACCTTGGTTCACAATTTGATTAATGATAACTCTGATATTTGGACTAAAAAAGGAAAATAAAGATTCCAAGATCAACGTTGTAAGAATACAAAGTTCACTTTCTTCTTCGTACAATTAGGATAATAAGTTAGAAAAATTTGTAGATGTGTCCTCATTTTCCTCAATCACCATTGCTGAAGTTTGTTACAGTCTTTTCTCATACGTAATTTATAGGAGAGAAATAATGAACTTGTGGAATGTACTCCCATTACTATAAATTAGTATGCTATTATTGCTCTTATAAAAAATTCAAATGTAAAATCGTTTTAACGGGAAGAATCCATGTTCTGATTATCAAATATTGTTAAGGGATAAATTTCACATAAGATAATTTTCAAAATATACATCAACATATAAGGGTTTGAGTTATTCTACTTAACAATGTTTACTTTTTAAGATGGAACCACAAGTCTTAATATAGTATTAGAGTCTATTAAGTTTTAATGAACAATTCGATTCGATTAAAACTAAAAAAACGAGCACATAAATTTCACGATTGGTTTGCTCCAACAAACCATTATCTTGTGTAGACATGTTAAGGAATAAATTCCACATCGAATAATTACCGAAATATAAAGATTTGAGTTACTCCTCTTAAAAAGGTTTATCTTCTAAGATAGAACCTCAAGTCTTAATGAATATATCATATCGTGTTTTGCAAAATCCTTCCTGGCAAACAATAACACACTTCCTAGTCTTCCAATATTTGGGTTTTTAAATTAAAATTTGTTTCAAGGCTACAATTTATTTTTTCAAATTTTATCTTTTCAAATTTCTGTATTCCTTGGAAAGTTTTGAATCCTATGTTTTGATACTAATTATATGATTTTGACATTAGACAATTGTTTGGGTTGAATGTTAGTTTTGATCTTAATGGTTTCAATTAATTGTACACTAATTGGATTGATGTTTGAGAAAAGAAATAGGAAAGATAGTATGTGACAACATTCATGGTAAAATCCTACAACCGTTAGCATAATAATCTTTGTTTTGCATGATCTAAATAGATATTCTTGCGTTTTAATCCATCTTTGCATTTGGGATATGGATATTGTCGAGTCATATGTAAGGACATGTTTGATTATTCATGGGAGAAACTTTGAACACGATAAGAACATTGATCTTCATAACCAAATAAATGTCATTAAATTATGGAATTGATAATATGGATGAATGTAGGAGGATATGGGGTCCTATTGTTTGTTCATTAAACAAGTAATAGTTTACGCTTCCACCACATAGTTAAGTTAGGAAAGATAGTTAGTTAGTTAATCTTAGGTTGTAATATCATCACATCTCTCCAATCTCAATTGTATTTTTTACATTTGAAGAGAGATAGGTTAAATATGAACTAGACTAAATTTTTGTTCCTTGTAGAATTGATACTTGAACTCACGTTCACTTTTATTACTTGTTACGATTTGTATACTTACATGATTAAAAATTGACAACAACGACAAACCAATGACTGGAGGGTAGGCGTAGCTTCAACATGGAACATGGCTGCTAAGGAGGACCCTGCTCTAAAAAAGAGGTTGGAGAACCTCTCTGAGGAAGAGACAGCTAATCTAACGATTCAATTATGTTCTTACCGCCAAGTACAATTAGATTGAGAATTTGGTCCATATGAGCATGGTCAGCCACACCAACTTGCAGCGCAGGAAAACATTGCTTACAAACAATGGGAATCTAGCCCTTGTTTGATCTCTATTTTTTTCAAAATACATTTTTCTCTCTCTTCTTTTCAACCACACATTCTTCAATAAAATAATATTACACACAACCCAAAAAAATTTCTTTCATTTTTAACAACACATTCTCCATCAATCTACTATTACAAAATGCATTATATACTAAAAATGCGGCTCAAACAGACCCCTAGATTCAAAGTGGATATTTCTATATTTAAGGATTCAATTTAAGGAAATGTCGGATGATAAGAGGATATTGTTGGAGTTGAGATTTGTTGTCCAAATGGTTGTCCAACCAATTAATTATTAATATGTCATCAATCTAGTCGGTTATTAGTGAAGTTGATGAGGGTAAACTTGAGATGATACATTAATTATTGATGACATATTAATAATTAATTGGTTGGGTAGCCAATTGGACAACAATTCTCAACTTATATTGTTGGTGGCTAAGCTTTCTGGGCTTGTGTTGTGACTTGGCAACAAACAAAAGCTATGTTAAGAGATGCAACCTTCAATGATAAGGTTAATACTACAACATTTAATGTGAAAAAATGTGGTTTATGTTCAGAAATGCAACCTTTCAAACAGGCCGCTTGAAAATCTATATATAGAGACCTTTATTTCCATTTTTTCCTACACAAAATCAATTCAAATCATTATTGATTTTCTAATTCTCTCCTCGCTTCAAAAATTAAATTCCTTTCATTTTGTTGAAATAAAATTTCGTTCGAATATTTAATTCGTGTTTATTACATTCAAGAAGAATATTACATATACTTTGGTTCGACCGATAAGGTTGGTATAGTGCAATACCTAATTTGGAAAGAAGAGTTGCATTTTGGAAGACAGACGTTTAATTATCCTATTGGCACTACTGCAAGGGGCGAAATCTATTTTAAGGAGATTTACTACAGCTTACCTCACTTCATCATCACTCTTATTTTCTTTCTTTTGATTGTAGTTATAATTAATTTGACAACAGTTCACAACATGGCTGTTGAGTCTGGTTGAATCCGATAGCTCTCCCCGTCATATGAAATTACTAAATAAGACTGACAACTGGAATCTACTTCGTTGAAGGTGTTGGGTGAAGATTCTTGCCCTCATGGACTCGAGGAAGCTGGAAAGATGATTACACAAAATTGCAAAGGACTTCCACTTTCCCTTGTTGTGATAGGTGGCAACCTTTTCCACAACCAACAGGACAAAAGATCATTGGGAGTACGTTGCAAAAAATGTCAAGTCAGTTGAAAATGCAACAAATGCAAACTGCTCAAAAATATTTTCTTTAAGTTATGATTACTTACCTTATTATCTCAAAGCATGCTCTCCCTGTATGGGACTTTTTCAGAAGATGATGGCATCCATGTCTCCAAACTCATCAAGTTCATGGGCTGCAGAGGGATTTCTAAAACCAGTCAGAGGTAAAACCTTGGAAAAAGTGGCAGAGGAATATTTGGAAGATCTAATTTCTAGAAATCTTATTACGATTAGCGAGAAGAGTTCTAGTGGAAAGATAAAAACTTGTAGCATACATGATATGTTAAGGGACCTATGCTTAAGAAAAGCTTAGGAGGAGAAGTTTTTCCATGTCATAGGTGAAGATGTCAACATTTTTGCTGAAGGCATAAAGTATTCACGTCGCCTATGTATTCATCCAGATATTTTTCACAAGGAATTCTCAAACAATGACAATTTAAATGACAATCCGTCCATGGGAACCTTGCCACTAGTCTGTTCTATTTCATGTTCCGGTTTGGCTAGCAAGATTTATGAATCTGGTGATGGTAAACTTTTTCCACTGCTTAGGGTGCTGGATCTTGATAAAGGAAAGGTAGATGGTTTCCTAATTGGAGAAATAAAATTAGTTCACTCGAGGTACCTTGCTTTCTCTTGTGATGGGAAAATTTCCAAACCTAAACTACTCCTTGATTTTCTTTGGTATCTACAGACCATAATTGTAGATTGTAAAGAAGTACATCTACCAAAGGAAATATGGAGGATGCCACAACTAAGACATCTCCTGTTCAGGATGTGTTATTTGTCATGGCCTGCTACATCACTAATGGCTGGGGAGAATTTGGTTCTAGAAAATCTTTTAACATTGCCGAAGTGAGTAGTTCCAGCTGTACCAAGGAGGTCTTTGAAAGAGTTCCAAATCTAAACAAGTTAGGAATTTTAATTGAACAGTTTGAGACTTTTTCTCTAGGTAATCTGGTTAATCTTCCTCAACTTGAGACCCTGAAAATCCCAATTGGAAATGAATGTATTAGTGTCCCGATGAATTTCACTTTCCCATCATATGTCACGAAAATCTTTGAGAAATCTTTGATATCAGGCTCGGAAAATCAACCACAAACACCAATCAACCGCTCAATTCTTAACACCTTTGGTTGCTTTAGTTTTACTCCCACAAAGGAGACACTTGGTGGCGGTATTTACAAGCTACAAATGGAGGAAAGAGAAGAAGAAAACAATGGTTGAATCTTTCTCAAATCCACCACAAAATGGGCTGCGTCTCTCAATCTCTTTTCTCTCCACACTCTTCCACAATACACACACACATGAACGGACCTAGGGGGGTCCTTTGGGGGGGGGGGGGGAACAACTTTTGAGATTTTTTTTTTATAAAATCGTGTTTAGTATCGATTGAAATCTAAATTTTTAATCTAAATCAAAGTTAACATTTAATTTTAATAATATATTTCATGGAATCCATAACTGTTTAACTTTTATTAAAATTTACTAAAAAATTGATTTTAATCACCACCAAACAGGGGCAAAATCACAATAAATTTGAATTTCGATAACATGCTTATTTAAAAAATTCTCCGACAATCGTACGTTAATCGAATCTACAAATTACTTATATCATTTCAAAATTTATTTCGAGAACTACATTATGGGCATATCGAATAGTCCAAACAAATATTGAAAATAATTAAAAAAAGGTTAAACGTGAGTCTTAAAAAAAGATCTCTAACTCATTTTTTTTTTAATTCAATTATTTCATTAACATTTATTATTTTTGCTATACAAATTTCTCAATGTAATTTTTATCATTTTATTAGAAAATTTTATATGGAATATAAAATCAAAAATTTTCGAAACTTTACATCCGAAAAATTTATATCCCATATAAATTTTCGGATGTAAAATTACATTAAGTATGATTTTTTTGGATGTAAATTTTTTATTGTAAAATTTCTCCCACCTTCTTTGTAAGTTCGATTGTACCCCCCTAACTTTTAAGTTCTGTGTCCGCCCCTGACACACACAATGAAGAAAACACATGGCTATATGTATATAGGCATGGTTTAGTTTTGGGCCAAGACTCACTCATAATAGGCCAAGTTAATGCGCTAACAATAACCAAATTCATACATTAACCAAACTACCAACCCAACTAAAACTTAGGCCCTTCAAAGATGTATTAGTTGTTTCCGAGTCGAGTTGTCACTTTAGTGTGATAAAATATCCAACATCGTTTTATCGTCATCGCCCGAATTTATTAGGTATCAAAACCCAACATGAACTAATGAGCAAATTAAGTAAATTCTTCACAGCTATTGTCATATTCTCGTAGTTTATTGTTACATTAGGTTGTGTATTAATGCTTATTTTGGTGGCAGGTTCTTGGTGCACGAGGGTTGTATAAAGCCAATGTGCGGTCTTCTACTTAGTCCCAACCAAGTGAGAGTCATCAAAATCTGCTTGGTAGGCTTTGAGAACATTCTGAAGGTTAGAGAAGCTGAGAAGAATCAAGGTAATACCAATGTGAATATCTTTGCTCAAATGATTGACGATGCTGGGAATCTACAGGAGATTAAGAACCTCCAGACTCATGAGGACAGTGAAGATACTTGAAACATATTGGTAGGAAGAGGATGATGAGCATCTGCCTTCTGTTGATGCTCCACAATCTGGGTGTGTTTGTTGTACAATTATTGATTATTTCCTTTGTTTTACTAATGCAAATTTACCCATGGAAACTTCTCGGAATCGTATGACAATTGCAATATTATTTTAGATCATCAGCAAGATTTCTGTTAAGCATGACTTCGATTATTTAAATTTGTAACATTTTTTGCCCAATTGATACAAACCATTAGAACTTTGGAAAAGGAAAAGATATGCTTAAAAATTGAGAATGGGAGGACAGGAATGAATGTAGATGTAACTGTGTGGTACTTTACATGAATAAGGTATCGGAAATTTTATTTGGAATTACACGAATCGGACAAGAATCAAACCGAATTAGCTGCTTTAGTTTGAGTTTAAGTTAAAAGTGGTCTGATCTTAGCCTTAAAATAAAGAATCCAAAGGTTCTAGTTTGGTTATTGATTTTAGCTAAAGAAAATCGGTTCCAAAATTATTATCTATTTTCAGTCTCTTAATTTAAGTCATAATTTATATGAATTTACATGAACTAATATATATTAAGAATAAGCTAACACTTTGTCGCTTAAATTTACAAGGGTGTAATTCAAATAAAAAATAAAATTGTAGAAGATTTTACACTATAAGCTTTATTTTTGAAGCATGAAATTATATGATGGAACTTCTAATGGAAACATCAGATAAAATAAGAAGCTCTAAAATGACAAATTTATATCTAACAAAATACCGATGAGCTAAGTGGTCCGTATATGGTAGTAGTGGATCATCATATTATTTAAACAACGGACTTTACATTGAATGGACCGTGAAGTGGATTTGTGAGTTTCTAATATCTTTTTGATCTTTTTTTTTATAGCTTATTAGTGCTTTTTAATAGAATTCATTGATAAAAATTCGACAATTGTTTGCACTTCAGTTATCAAGTCAATTGTCGATATGAGATATAGAATGAGTGCAAGAGAAACGGTTGAGAAGAGATTTTACTAGGGTTTGGATTACATATCTCTAGTGTAAATGGAGTCATCTTATACATAGGGAGGGGAATGAGCCAATATGGGTTTAGTGGACCAGGTCCAAGCCCAAGAAGAAGATGCTTGATCTGATCGGCCCAATCTAATTGACATTTTTCATGTCCAGATAGTTAATGTAGGACCCTCTCCACCACATACATATCATGTAATTTATAGATATAACAAAAGATAAAGAGATGCCATTTTTTTTTAAACATTAAGGTGGCCCATTCCAACATCGTTGTTCAACCCTATAAAGATATCGAGAGGCCACTGGAGTTTCTTGTGATGAGAGAATTGAAGTAGCCACAATCGACTAATGAAATTTTATCAATTTAGTTTATCTTGTACATTTTATGTCAAACATCTCTTGGAAGTTTTATTTTTTGGAGAACTTATCTCAATATCGAATCCGCCTCAATTGTATTGTTTAATTGTTTGATTCTTATATCATGTTAAGTTTTCATATTGCTATCCACTTTTACTATATTATTTTGTGAATGTTATTTATTTAATAGTCTCGGCAGCACTAAGTGTTATCTTCTATTTGCTATGTTGGTATGTTATTTTTTCGTCTTATATATCAAGACGAATTGATAAATGTATTTTATACACTTATTCGTGCCTTTAAATATGGAAATCTTGAAGTTATTTTGATTAATTATGACCTAATTATTTTATATTTTGTTTATTAGGTGAAATTTGATGATTGAACATGGAATTGGGATATTTAAGAGAAAAATAACGAAAATGGTGAAATTCAAAGTTCGAGAACCTAATTGTAATTTTTCAATAGTTGATTCGGACCACAAAATGAAGATGTTACGAATTCAATTCGATGCAATTAAAAATTAAAGGATTGAAATTGCAAGAAAAAAATGACTTAAAAGAATCTAGAATCGAATTTAGGGACCAAATTGCCCGTTTGCAAAAAATTACAAGAGCCTAGGCACCCTCAGAACCCAGGCACTACATCGGAAACAGGTACCTAAGCGTTTCTTGAACACCTTTTTGCTAGATTTCCTCTCCAAATGAAATTTTGACGAGATTTTCATCCAATTTTCGAATCTTATAAATACAAAACAACTTTATTCATAAAAAGACGCATATCATATTCCTCGATTTATCAATTAATATCATCTAAAAGAGGTCAATCCATTATTTTTGTGAGAATTAAAGGGCAAATACAAGTTTTTAATAAATTGGAGTTCAATCTTCATTTTTGGAGAGACAACAAAAAAATATATTAGAGAATCATCAAGAAACCATTGAAAAAATTCAAAATCTCAAGATCAATCTTCTTGTTCTTCAGTAAATTAAAATTTGGGTTGTGATCTTCCAATTAAACATTTTGTGATTTTGTAATGCTAGACTAGTATTTTACTTACTAAAACATTGATAAACTCTTCTTATGAAGTTTTTAATATTAATTCGATAATTTGACACCCATTATGTGTTTATTCTTGAATGATTGTTATTGTGTTTAATGTTTTTCAATTACTTGATCACTAATTAGACTGATTTGTGAGTTTTATTGATTTCGAGAGAAACAATATGATAGATAGCACGTTATAACAATCATTGTATAATCTGATAAGAGATATAGATATGCCACTATACTTTCTATGATTCTATAATTGTTCTAGTATTTTTAATACATACTTTCATATTATCATCTTTCATAAAGATATAAGAAGGTCACATGATATGATAAATTTATTTGATATTGAGAGATATTTTTAACTAATTTATGAATATTTAACAATAAAAATGTGCACATGTTATCATGTTATTGAATTGAATTGAAATGAATTAATAAGGAGGATTCGAGGTCTTAGTAACCTTCTCAGCTAAATTTACAAAAGTTTCATAATTTGATCACTAGAATTGTTAGTTTAATTTATTAATTAGTAAAAATCATTCAAACATCTTTAGCTATTCGATTGGAGTTATAATAGATTGATCCTAGATTGAATGGATAGTTCTCGTGAGAACAATATTTTATTCATCACTTTATTATTTGTTCACGATATCATACACTTGCAAAAAATCAAACGGTCACAAATCAATGATATTTTTTTAGCACGTTTTTATCAACTTTCAAACTACATATTTTTTCAAAATATACTAAAAGTATGATTTTTAACAAAACCAAACATGGGTTAAATATAGAGGTGTAAATCCGGGTGGTTCGGGCTGGGTCGGCCCGCAAACATATGAGCTCGATAACAGCTCGCGTGAAAAAAATCCCGCCCACTAGGGTTCTGGGCCGGTTCTAGGTCGGCCCACAAATTTTGGACTACAACCCAGATCCGCCCGTTGATCCATTTGGGTCGAGCCCATGTAGGTAACGGGTCGCGCTGGTCGCGGTTTGTTCCAATTTGGCCATTATTATTGTATAAATAAAATTATAAAAACATAGAATTTTTCATATTTATAGCAATCTAAATGTATTTCTAATTACTATGATCAAATATTTATAGTATAAATACATCTCAATTAGGTTGTCACCTATTTTTTTTCAAATATTTTTAATTTTTTTCATGGGCCAGCGGGGTTAATCGCGGCCCGTGAAGGTGCAACCTGCGAAGCCCGCGGGTCACACCTCCTTGACCCGTGAACCGCTCGCTTGGATCACGGGTCGGCCCACGGTCCTGAGTCGATTTGGGCCGATTTTCACGGGTCTGACCGGTCCGTCTATCTTGACACTTCTATCTAAATAACTCACAAAAACTAGTGGCATTAATTTGCCCATTTATGCATATTGAATCAAGTACAAGTGATCGAACACGAGTGTCGTTGGATTTTTATTATCAAGGAAAATAAGAAAGATATTCACGAAAATGACCCCGACACACAAAAGTTTGTTGCCACTTTCGGGTCCCCATTTGTTGCACACTATAAAACAAAGTGAACAACATGTAAACTCAGCAATTATACTTGAAATAAACGAAGTTTGACCTAATTAACACCTAGAGGGGTTGAATGTGTGTAATATGTGAAATTAAAAATTAACTAATAATAATTAATAATAAGTTACAAATTATTGATTCTAAATGAACTAAAAACAATCTAAACCCTACAATCAATCAAGCAATTATATCGAAGCTCGAAAATAAAGAACGTCGAGATCTGGTTACGAAGGAAAAACCTTTTAATTTTAACTTATTACGTGACAATATAATAGACCAAAATAAGTATTTTTTTTCTTCTTATCGTTATAAGATGATAGGAATAACAAATTAATATTTATTCCCTGAATCTATGAGAATTTTTTTTTAATGAAACACTTGCAATCTTCATGTTTATACAATGAACAACTAATTGTGTGGTCATTTTATTTGTTGCCTCATTTCTTGTTTTACTATGAATTATTAGTTTTGACTTTTGCATATAGGTGCTCGATGTAAGTGTTATGCCCTAAGTCCAATCAACTTTGGACATAAACACTTTAAATATATATAATCAATACATATATA